ATACTAAGATTTCAACCCTTTCAACACCAAGATCTCATTAGTAATTCTCCCTAATGTCTTCCATATAATAATTATATGTTAGATCTGAATATTTGGCATTAGATCAAATAATAATCCTGTGACTGACACTTCTCTTAAAGTTTATTCTCATCACTTGCCTGCGTCATACTGTATTGATTTAATATTATAGGAAGAAATTTGTCTTGGTCACTACCAAGGAGTGATTTCATCTTCTTATTTCAATGCAATCATTATCCAGCATAACATGATGAGAACAAACAAAAATGTTTACTAAAGGATAATTATCATATGATTCACCTCCAAATTCTCAGAGCTAAAACTATAAGAAATTTAAGGCAGAGAGCAGGGAGAATCACTACTAAGATTTTGGGAAAGACTACATTTAAGATATTATATGCTCAAACTCACCAGGAATTGAACAGAGTATGTGTAAGCAATGTAAACATCACTTTTTAACTCAGCTGGAAAACCCATGGCTGGTAAATCATCATCACATTTCAGATCCTTGCCTTTCTCGTGCTTGATACTGTAGAATTAACAAGATTGCTGTGTAAGGATATATGATTTTTTTGTCTTGTCATGCATCTGACTCCTTGAGAGGAATCAAACTTCAAAGTGTAAAATCAGCAAGTACAGTATACAGGTGTATGAGATTGGGTTTCCTAAAGGAACTCAGGTCTTTTCTTTGTCCCAAACTCATGTCAAGACAAAAAAAATCCATCAATAATACACTTACAAGCTTAAAATTTACAACTTTTATTACTAAAAGATTGCTTCAAGTTGATGACATATATAAAACATTCAGGCACTATGGCGCAAAAAAAAAAACAAAACAAAACAAATAAAGTATGCACTCTCATCAAGTGACTCCTCCAGTAAGAGCTTATCCCAATTTCTGTGGCATGTAGTGCCAATCAATTGCTGGTTATTCTTGTCCAGCATTTTGACAGGTTTCCCAGAACATAGTGGGGGTAGCACTAAGGGAGTTCAGTGTCTCACACACCAACAGTACACAATGAACAGGGCAGATCACAGATCCCAGACCCAGACCCAGACCTTTTAACTCAAGAGTCCAGCTCAGCACACAGACCATAAGGCCACTGTGGCCCTCCCTGACACTGCTGTTTGTGCAGTTCATACCTTTTTGGTGTGACCTGTGCAGACATCAGACGAGCTCCTTCCCAGTCTTCCCCAGACCCATCATGGTATTTGATCTCGATATCAACATGATTAAAGATGTAGTGCATCCCGCGTTCATTGAACTTGGCCTGAAACAAAAAACATAAACAAGGGACAAAATAATTCTCACAATTAAATTACCAATAACAAAATTACAGATAAAACAAAAAACATCCAGGCTTTCAACTTGAGCCTGGTAAAGACTAAATGGGCTCGAATGCCAACTGAGCTGCAATGCCACACGTGGGAAGTAGAGCAAACTTTGGAGGATTTGTCAAGGATAAACCTGAAATTCTTTAGTTCTGGTTCCCTTCAGTTTGCTCACTGATTGGTCAAAAAGACTCTGTGCCATTCTTTCAACCAATCAGATGCAAAACTAAAACCAATCATGACTTAGTCATTGTCCCCTTCACCCCAACAAGTTTGCCTGTGTCTTAATGTGACTTTTCATGAACTTACATTTTCGATCATTTTCCCCTTTGTTCAGTTTGGCTGTAATGATGACTTCAATTTCAGTTTTCATCCCTCAATTGAAAACTTCTGGCCTTGGTTGGGCCTTGGTTATTTAATGGAGGGATAATGCTATTCAATGCAGTCGCTGTAAATTGCTATCCAACATGTAAATCTCTATCCAGTGGATAAGTCTTAACAAAATGTACTGTGCTACCCACCAGAGAGAGATTTCTCTAGTGGATAGCATTACCCACCTTTAAACAACCAGTCTCAGTAGTTTACTAATTGAGAAATCTGTGAATACTTACACTTGTCACACAGGCATCATGTGCTTGTCCATCCTCAGTCACATGACAGCCGATAGGAAATCCTGTGGAACAGTACTTTCTGTATTCACCTGGGAACTCATAACACCAAGTCACAGGCATGTTGTCAATAATCCTACAAAGATTAGA